AGGAATGCTGCACTAGACGTGGAGCCTATCCATGCCTTCCGGGCCCACAGGTGCGCGTGCCCGTGAGCCTTCTGGAAACCCTGGCCTCTATCCCACTCCATCCCAGGAGCCCGAGAAGGCCTGGGGGTGGGGGGCTGCGTCCCGTGCTCCTCCGGTCTGTGCAGACTGTACAGGGCCCTGTACACGCCCTCTGGAGCCGGCAGCAAAGGTGGGGTGGGCAGAGCAGGGCCGGCAGCATGCTTGGCAGTGCAGCCGATTCCAGTGCTGCATGCCTCCCGGCCATCCTTGCAACATGCCACCAGTGAGCTCCAATGTCCCCTTGCCCCCGCCCCCGCCCACAGGGGCCCTGTGTTGGCAGTAGCCGTGGGCAGCAACAGCGAGTACTGCTACAGTGGGGGGGCAGATGCCCGCATCCACAGCTGGAAGATTCCAGACCTCAACATGGACCCCTACGATGGTTATGGTGAGCACACACACAGACACACACACACACACACACGCCGACCTCTGCGTCACCCCTGTGCACTAGGGCCGCATCGTCCCCTCCACACATGCAGCGCCTCCCTGTGTGGACACCAGGCTCTGGGGGGGCCCATGCAGGGGCTTCCCGTCTAGATGGGCATGTAATTGGCTGAGTGGGCGGGTGAGATGCGGCAGGGGATGGCCAAGCTGACCGGCCGTGGTGGGCAGAGGGAGGCTTCAGGGCGCCCTGCTCCTTCTGTCCTTAGCTGGGTCCTAAAGATGACGAACGAGCACCCATTCTCTGGGCCCTGGGGAGGCAGCAGTGAACAGGGTACCCCTGCCCTGGAGTTTCTGGGATGGCTTTATAGCCCAGAAACTTCCCAGAAAAGCCAGTGGTCAGCGTGAGCAGCACTGGGCGGCACAGGCCCCCACATGGGCAGCTCCCAGGAAGCAGACTTCTCGAGTCGAAGCGGGATGGAGGGTGCACGGGCTAGGCCAGCCCCTCAGAGCTGGACTCCCAGGCTGGCCCGTGCAGGCTGGCAACCCTGACCTAGCCGTTTCCTCCCTGGGGCTGATCCAGACCCGAGTGTGCTGAGCCACGTCCTGGAGGGCCACGCAGACGCTGTGTGGGGCCTGGCCTTCAGCTCCACCTCCCAGCGCCTGGCCTCCTGCTCCGCAGATGGCACCGTCCGCATCTGGGACCCCAGTGGCAGCAGCCCGGCCTGCCTCTGTACCTTCCCAGCAGCCAGCGGTGAGTGTGGGGCCCAGCACCCCGCATGGGAGTGGCAGAGGCCCAGAGAGAAGGGCTGGCTCCTGGTGGGGCCTGGCTTCCACTCACAATCCCTCTTCCCCAGGGAGGGTGGGACGGTCCATTCTCAGCCCCTCCCCTTCTGCCCTCAGAACATGGGGTCCCCACCTCAGTGGCCTTCACCAGCACCGAACCTGCCCACGTCGTGGCCTCCTTCCGCTCTGGCGACACTGTCCTGTATGACCTGGAGGCTGGCAGTGTCCTCCTCACGCTGGAGTCCCGGGGGAGCAGTGGTAAGGGGCCCCCGTGAGACCGGGGTCTGAATGCCTCTGAGGCCCCAGTGCCTCCTGTGCTTTGGCGACGCCCACCTGGTTGCCAGTCAACTCATGTGGAATCCCCTGCAGCCTCAGGGGCTCTGAGCAGGAAGGACCCAGCCCTACCTCACCCCTGCTCAGGGTCTCGGGGCTGAGCAGGGCATGGTACCTAGGCCCCGTCGTGTGCTTGGCAGAGGAGACAGGACATTTGCAGTTCACGGTCATACCTCCCCACCACAGAACAGGCCGGGAGCCACCTGCAGAAGCAGCACTGTGGCCTTGGGAAGGGCGTGGCCTGGGTCCCCCGCCTGCCTCAGCATCCAGGCAGAAATGGGGGTCGGGTTGCTGGGCACCTCCTGCTTCTGCCCTGGTCTCCCTGCTCCCCCCCCACAATGACCCTCCTCCGCTCCCTTTTCCTTCCAGGCCCAACTCAGATCAACCAGGTGGTGAGTCATCCAGACCAGCCCCTCACCATCACCGCCCATGACGACAGGGGCATCCGCTTCCTGGACAATCGGACAGGTGAGGCCTGGCCCCCGGCCTGCCCGCTCCCTCCTGCTGTGGGGGTGGGGGCGGCTGGGCCACACAAGTTCTGATGTCCACATCCACGCCAGGGGCTCTCAGCACCCTGCAGTCCCTCCACCTCTCCAGACAAGGCCTGGCAGAGCAGGAGAAAGGCTGCCACCTCCCTTGCCTCCCTCCAGGTAAATCCGTGCACTCCATGGTCGCCCACCTGGACGCGGTCACCTGCCTAGCCGTGGACCCCAATGGCGTGTTCCTGATGTCAGGAAGTAAGCTGGGAGCCCTCTTGCCCATCCCCTCCCATAGGGGTATAGTCCCTTTGGGGAAAAGCTGACCAGGGCCTGACCCCAGGCTGGGGCTATGGGGAGCTCAGCAGTGGCAGGAGCAGTGGCGGCGGTGACTGGTGACAGGCCAGTGCTGCATGCTTGGAGCCCTTGAGGCACTCATCCCACCGCACAGACGTGGGAGCAGAGGCTCAGGAATTTGGGGACTTGTTTGAAGCTTAGTGAATTGCAAGAATCTAAGTCCAGGCCTCTCTGGTCCCACCCTGCCCTCTGGAAGGGGTGGCAAAGAGACTTCTCTCTTCTGCCGCTGGCCTCAGGGCCGAGTCCGCGGTAGTGGTGTGAGTGCACAGAGGGGTTAGCACTGGTGTGGCGGGCGAGGTGGGCTGTGGGCGGGCACAGCCGGGCTTGTTGCGTCTCCTTGTACGAACGCAGGGGAGCAGCTGACTGGGACTGTTCTCCACCTGCTCCCCGACAGCGGCAGCCATCTCTGAGGCTGGGGTGGGAGGATGGTCAGAGGTCAGGCCCAGGCCCCAGGGGCCCCACAGAAAGGGCTTAACCGTGGGAGCTGTCCAAGAGAGCTGGGTCTCTGCTGCTGGTTCTTGTAAAGCCTGAATCAAGCCAGGCATCCTGCCATGGCCCCAAGCCCCTGCCCAAGCTGCTGGCAGCAGCTCTCCCACACCCCTGACCTAGCTGCCTCATCACCTCCTGTCAGTCCTCCAACAGCAGGCAGTCCTGCCTCAGGACCCTGCCTGGCTGTCCCCACCGCCCCCGTCCTCCTTGGGACCAGCCCCTGGCTTTCTTAGGTCTAGCTTCCTGTTCCCTGTGCTACAGGGTCAGCACTGCAGGGCAGGGAGAGCTGCCCTCCTGTCCCCTGTACTCTCTGTCCCATGCTCCAGAGACACTTGGTGATGGATGACAGGGCAAGGATCTGTCCTGGGGACAAGGGTTGGGGCGGGGGGCATCCAGAAGTGACCGGGCTGAGGGACGAGACCTTTAGAGGAGGCCAGGTGCGGGCTTTGGGGCCGGCTGGAGCTCAGCTGGATGCCAGCCTGTGCCCCACTCTGCAGGCCACGACTGCTCCCTGCGGCTGTGGAGCTTGGACAACAAGACGTGTGTGCAAGAGATCACGGCCCACCGCAAGAAGCACGAGGAGGCCATCCACGCCGTCGCCTGCCACCCCAGCAAGGCCCTCATCGCCAGCGCCGGTGCTGACGCCCTGGCCAAGGTCTTCGTATGATGCCCACCTGGCCCCGCCCTGGCCGCCGAGCCAGCTGGGGAGCGGGGCTGGGCAAGCGGGGCTGAGGTGAGCAGCCAGGGCCACCTGGCTTCAGGTGGTAGCAGAAGGTCCCTGTGTCCTGAAGCTCACCCCTTGTGTGATACCTTGGCTTGTGCCAAGGTTTCAAGCCCTACTGTCTGGGTTGGGAGCACGCAGTTAGAGGGAGCACCCCGTTACAATGGCTGAGTAGCCCCTGCGCATGCAGGGGCGGGGCGATGGCTTTGGACGAGTCCCTGCGGCTGTGGAGCTTGGACAACAAGACGTGTGTGCAAGAGATCACGGCCCACCGCAAGAAGCACGAGGAGGCCATCCACGCCGTCGCCTGCCACCCCAGCAAGGCCCTCATCGCCAGCGCCGGTGCTGACGCCCTGGCCAAGGTCTTCGTATGATGCCCACCTGGCCCCGCCCTGGCCGCCGAGCCAGCTGGGGAGCGGGGCTGGGCAAGCGGGGCTGAGGTGAGCAGCCAGGGCCACCTGGCTTCAGGTGGTAGCAGAAGGTCCCTGTGTCCTGAAGCTCACCCCTTGTGTGATACCTTGGCTTGTGCCAAGGTTTCAAGCCCTACTGTCTGGGTTGGGAGCACGCAGTTAGAGGGAGCACCCCGTTACAATGGCTGAGTAGCCCCTGCGCATGCAGGGGCGGGGCGAGGCCTTGGGCCCAGAAGTCGTGGTCCAGTCTCCTGCCCTGTGTCCTGCAGGTGCCTCCTGGCCGCACCCCAGGGCCGAGCCCCTGCCTGGACTGGCCCGCCTGCCAAGGAGCCTGGTGGTGCTAATGGCCCTTTCCTCTGGGCTCCCCTTCCCCATGCACCCAGTCTGGGGATGGCCCCTCAGGAATCGCCCTTGAGGGTGGCCTTGGCGGTTTCTCCCGCCCTGACACTCACCCCTGGCAACAGCCACCTTCTTGAGGGTGGCACAGCCAGGGCTGGTGTCCTCGGGATCAGTTTTCTGAGAAGCCAGAAGGTGCCAGGTTCTCCCCTCAAGCCCCCACCCTCCTCTGTCCTCTCAGACCTGGGGGGGCCTATGCTGGGATGCATCCAGACACCCCCTGGGCAGGCTGCACGCTGGGTGCTCCACCACAGACGGGCCGTCCTGGAGAGCACCATCCGGCTCCCCTCCCTGGCCCTTCACACTGCTTTCCAGACACTAACCAGCGCCCCCAGGGCCACAGACTGCCAGGGAGGATGCGCCCTCCCCTCCAGCACCCTCCCAGGGCAGCCCTGCCAGCCCCCACGGGTCACCGTGGGAAGAGATGGCCTCCTCCGCCCCTCCCTGGGCATGGAGGGTGGAGTGGGGCCCCCTGGGTCCCCTGTAACTCCCTGTATATCTGTATAAATAAGTGGGATTTTAATGGCACCCTGCCCCACCCGCGTTATCACTGTGTGATAGTCTTCGTCAGCCCCCCTTCCCCTCTATTTATTTCACTCTCTCTGTTTGGGTTCCACCCTGCGCCCTCAGTCCCTTCCAGGTTCCTGTTTATAAGCCCCACCCCCTCTGCCCCCGATCTTGTATGTGAACACTTGTCTCAATAAACCCTTTGGAGTAAGATGGGTGACCGTGCGGTCTATTAAGGGGACTGGGGACTTGGGGGAGGAGAAATCAGCCCTGGCTGGGTTGGGTGGAGTTTGGAGAGGGAATATGGTGGGCTAGGGTTTTGTGGTCAGGCCAGCAGGGCCAGAGAGGTGCCCAGAGCTTGGGTGCGGTGTGGGTGGAAGGGCGGAAGTGGGGGCACAGGACCGAATCTCCTTGTGCCCCTCCTTTTTGTCCCCGAGTGCTCCCTCCCCAGGAGCAGAGCCCTGACAAGCAGATGCTGTAATGACAGTTGGCTGACAACTCCACACCCCACTGGGGTTTGTGTAATGGCTGTGTGCCCACAGGGCCAAGCCCGTCCCCCACCAATGGCCACGCATGGCCAGCTCACATGGGGCAGGAGGGAAAGCCTGGACTTTCAGAGTGATGAGCTGTGGGGACACAGCCGCAGGCTCTGCCAGGCCGGGAGGCTCCCTGGAGGAGGAGGAGGTGCAGGTGCCCAGGCCCTCACAGTGGGTGCCCTGACCACGGAGCACTTTCCAGGAGCTAGGCCCTGTGCTGACTTTACACGTCATTTCTCTGGGTCCTCACAGCCTTGAAACACAGGGCCCTTATCAACCCCAGGCTAGGGAGGCGGCCTAGGGAGGCCGGGGTTGCTCGAGGTTTCCAGAGTCTCTCATCCCATGTCCTCTGCCTACCAGGAGGCCACTAGTCACTAGCCAGGTGTCCACCGGCAAGTCCCTGCACCTCTGGGCCTGGGCCTGGGCCCCCTCTCAACAGGCACAATGTGAGTGCCCACCCCCTGGGCTGTAAAGGCGTGCACTCCCCCTTCCCAGAGGCCCCATGGCCCCTGGCAGGCTCTACAGACTTGGCTGATGGCCCGTGAAGCGCGTGCTGGGATGCGCTAGCCTTTCTGCATGGTGCTCCTCTGCCCACCGGCCGCTCCGTCATCCTTCTGGGCTCTGTGCAGCTTCCCCAGGTGGTGGTTTGGGTTTTCGCTCCAGCCTCAAACTTCCTTCCTCAGCCCAGCCCCCGGATGTGGTGACAGAATCGATTCTGTACCGACCTCAGCTCCGCTGTCCCCCACGATCCCGTACCAGGACTCAGGGCCCCCTGCCCCAGCCCACCTGCTGGCCTAGGATCCAGGCCAGGTGCATAGCCTGTGTCTAATTCTGGCCTGGACCTGTCAGAGGGGTGGCTGGGGCAACTTCACTTGGTCATCTTGGACACGTCATTTGTTTCTCAGGGATTTCAGCTTCCAGTGTGTGAATTTTAAGTGGTGGCAACCGATGAGGAGAAATGAAGTCTGGCTTGCTCCTGGAGGAGGTGTTTACGATGGCCTGGTACACAGGCCTCAGTAGATACTGGCTGGGTGAGGAACATACCGGCCGCGTAGACTCCCGGGCCTTGGGGTGCTTGGCTCTGCGCATTACTGGCCACAGCCCCCACTCACTGGGCTCTGCTGTGCCCAGGCACCTGCACACCAGCTCACCAATCCCTCTGGGGCGGTCCCCCTAACAGATGGAGAGCCGGGCTCAGGGGAACCACCCACCGAAAGGGCAAGGCTCCAGCGCGGCCCAGGAGGCTCAGTTCTCCATCTCCAGTGAAGCGGGGTGGCTGTGTTGTCTTCCCATCCAGGCACCCCCGGGCTCTGGCACCCCTGAAAACGACCGACGTTCCACCCCCCACCCGCCCTCCAGGTAGTGCCATGCACTTTGCACAGGGTCGCTGGAGACAGACCTGCGCCAAGGCCCTTCCGCCCAGCCGGCGGCCTGGGTCTTCCCACCTGTGGAATGGGTTGGGGGTGTCCTGCAGCACCCCTCCCTAGGACTGGGGCGGAAAGGTTGGAGGCGACGCTCCGGGAAGGGAGGCCGAGCCCAGAGAGCCAACCGGACGCCCTTTTGCCCACCAGTTCCCCTGCGGTGGGCACCGGATGCCGGCCGGGCCCTCCTTAAAGGGCCCAGTGCCTCGGAGCGCGGCCCCGCGACCTGTGGGTGCTGGGGGGAGGTGGCTCGCCTCTCCTTGTCCAGCTCACGGGAAAGTTAACTTTCCAGACTAGGACGTGTTGAGGGACATAAATCAGGACCGCCTCCCTGTCCCCTGGCTCTCACTCCCCACCCCGGCACCGGTTCTGGGCCGGGAAGGTCCCGCCCCCAACTCTGGGGCTCCCGGCCCGCCCTCCCCTTCCGC